ATTTACCTTTGCCCACCAGTGATCACCCCTCAACAATTCTCAGACGCATGCCGAGGATGCCATTGGTCGCACGCTGGTGAAGGGCAAAGGAAAGGAGAAGGCCAAGGAAGTTGCCGAGCCCATTAGAGGGCGCCCACTAGCCAAGGCTGATGCTGGGGCTAAGACTGTGAGTTTTCTATCTCTGCTCGGTCACCTAGTACTCACGGTGTGATAGTACGATCCACCTTGCAAGAGGTGTGTCGACGAGCCTTGCCTTGTCATCATCGGCAAGAAAGGGCAGGTCATGAGGTCCTGCACCAAATGCAGCCTCATGAAGGTGAAGTGCGACTGACCGATGTCGGTCTATTCCGACACTCCTGCGCTGATGGCACACCTGAGGACCAGGGCTGCACCAGCCTCCAAGAAGGTTCCCCCAATGGCGACCCCAAGGTCCAAGTCCAATGTTCCACTCAGGAGAACCAGAGCAACCTCATGGGCACGTCCACCAACTCCCATCTTGGAGTCTGAAGAGGAAGCTGTCAAGGCTACCAGTAAGCAATCATTTTTTTTTATGATAATCTCCTCTAACCTTTGCTTCTAGATGTGTCCATCACAGGTGATGATGACGCCGACATGGAGCCTGCTGCCGATGCCCTGGCTGAGCCCGCAGCGGACGACAAGATCGTCACCGATGAGCCTTGGGCAATCGCATCTGCGGATGACTTCCCCGCCGATCATTGGGTGGAGCCCAACTCCGATGACTTTGTCATTCCGATGGCAGCTCCTCTGGCCAGAGATGTTTCCATCCCTTCGGCATCTCTCCCACCGACTGTCAGCGCCATCCACGAATGTGTGGTTTCCCTGGCTGCTAAGGTTGCTGCCATGCAACTCACCGACCAGAATACCCTTGCCAGGGTCGATGCAGTGCAGCAGGACTGCGAAACCCGGATCTCCTCAATGCATGCGGAGCTTTCTTCCATGCAGTTCGATCTCGGCACCACTGTCAGCCTCGTCAATGGCCTGACCAGCCTGGTGGAGAAGCTTCGGGAGGCACAGACCATTGCCAACCCATCCTTCCCACCACCGATGATGAGCAACTTCGGTGCTACCTCGGCCACCCCACAGATGCAAGCGATGGGCATCAGGTACTTGAACGGTGTGTACGGCTCTTCAGTTGCTACCTCGGCATCTGCTGCAGGCTCTTCGGCGTCTCGCCCTTTCGGTTGCCTTGACATGCATGGCGACACATTCACGTCTGGCCAAGTGTCCTTGGTGTCAGCACATGCCGGTCCTTCATCCGCTCCTGCTGTAGTTGGACCCCATTCTGCTGGAACATCACCTGCTTCGGCCGCAAAGTCTCTCCCCTGATCATTCAGCTCAATACATAGTTGTACATAGAGCATCCGTCCATCGGCAGAATTACCCTGGTATATCACGGACTTGTATTACTTACTTTCAAATGCAATTGTTTGGCCATTGATTCCATGTATATTCACTCTCTTTCCTGTGATATAAGTACCAACAGCATGTCAGCAGAGTGTATCTCAGTCATGTGTTGCAGTTGGCACAGTATCCTTCAGTTTCTTGTCTTTTCAGAATTGACCAATTTATACTCCATACGACTGATCGCCCGATCTCGGTCGCCGCATCACGCATGCTGATGAGATTCCATGCAACTGAAAATTCACCAACTCATACAATTCACCGATATCTTCTTGCCATCGTCTTCAGCTCAGCAGTCCTCCCCTCCTCACACCGCCGCTTCCACGAACGGAGCCAACAGCAACCATTCTGGCACTCCTACGCCAGATGGCCACTCGGTCAGGCTGATCACCACACCCAATGGCATCGCCGCCACGACTCTCAATGGCACAGCACATCGACCGACAGACGTGCAGATGTCACCTCCTGCAGAACCTCCCCAGTCCAATCAGACTGGCTCACCAGCGCGTCTCAAGGCTGAGTCTCAGCACATTCCGGTATCTGTCCCACTCAGTAGTTACCACATCCCTATGAACGGCTATGCCACCCTGCCTAATGGCACCGTCATGCAGGTGCCGCGACCGCCGAATGGCTTCATGCAGCAATGTCTTCTGACCGAGTCATATTTGACCGAGTCGTATTTACCCGAGTGTCTTTTGACCAAGTCATATTTGACCAAGTCGTATTTACCCGAATGTCTCTTGACTGAGTGTCTTTTGACCGAGTCATATTTGACCGAGTCGTATTTACCCGAATGTCTCTTGACTGAGTGTCTTTTGACCAAGTCATATTTGACCGAGTCGTATTTACCCAAATGTCTCTTGACCGAGTGTCTTTTGACCAAGTCATATTTGACCGAGTCATATTTACCCAAGTGTCTCTTGACCGAGTGTCTTTTGACCGAGTCATATTTGACCGAGTCATATTTATCCGAATGTCTCTTGACCGAGTGTCTTTTGACTGAGTCATATTTGACTGAGTTGTATTTACCCAAGTGTCTTTTGACTGAGTCATATTTGACCGAGTCGTATTTACCCGAGTGTCTTTTGACCGTGTCATATTTAACCGAGGTGCTCTTAGCATGTATCTTATGCATCGGATCCTGGTAGATCCCTCATCCATCATATTTGACTGAATGTCTGTTGACCGAGTTGTATTTGACTGAGTGTATTTGACCGGGGTGGTCTTGGCATTTATATTATTGATCGATTCCTGGTAATCCCTCATCCATCATATTTGACCGAATGTCCTTTGACCGAGGTGGTCTTGGCATGTATATTATGGAAGCTAGTCTATGAACACTTTCGGCCCATCTGTATATATCAGTACCACTGCCCACTCGGCCCACTTGTTTCCATCATACATATATATATATAGCTCTTGTATATTGCCTATCAAATGCAATAGCAAACTCCACACTTTGGACTATTGGCCCACTTGTTGGTATCAGGTACATACTTCATACACTACCTACCAAAATCAATAGAAAAGTCTACACTTATCTACACTACATACTATGGGCCCACTGTTTGTATCAGATACACACTTGAGACCGGCCCACCTGTATTTAACACAAAGATACATTGATGGGCCCACATCGGGTGGCCTGTGTAGAACAGGGATATTTCAACCTTGGCTGTATGTTTTATACAAGGGTAAAGTGACTGCAGTATGTGTCCCTTCAAAATACTTTACCAACACTGGCTACAACAGAGCTAATGTCCCTGAGATCCAACAACTCCTTGGGGTCATGTCTTTGACAAACCTGATGTACTGTCATATCCCGCATATCCACACTCCTAATCACTATTGGTAATACCCCTAACCACAACCTCCAGAACTCTGGAAGGTATCTAGCCTACACTTCACCTTGTCTGCTATCCTCAGCAGGACCTCTGCTCCTCTGCTCCTCCACCGGTTTTCGGACTTTGTCCACCTCTGTCTATATCTCCGCTCCTCCGCTCCTCCACTGGTTTTTGGACTTTGTCCACCTATGTCCATATCTCCAGTTCCTGTTCCCACACTCCTCAGCCCATTTCCTTCTAGTCTGTAAGCCAGACTTTTCCCTTTCTGGATATCCCCTATCCCTCCAGCTATCGGTTATGTGCATTCTCGTCCTTCTTATTGTTCTGTTCTCCTAGTTCATTTCTGACTTCATTTATATGATCCATCCTTTATGTTAATCAGCTTTCCATGTGCTCCGCACATAGCCCCTAATTCTCCTCATGCTCCATACATAGCCTCGGACTTTGCTTACTGATCCTCCTACTCAATACCTACAGTATATAAACTCCTGTAACACTCTGTATCTCCTCAGTTCAAATATCACCTTAATTCCTGCTCATTCCTGCATCTCCAGACTTGAGCTTTGTCTCTTGTTGATCTCTGAGTCTTAGGATTGATTCCTTTGACTGTACCTCCGATTCTCATCTTAGTTCCTGCTCATTCCTGTTCCTCCAGACTTGAGTCTTACCTCTTGTCCGCCTCCGAGTTTTGGGTTTATTCCTTAGACTATATCTCCGGCTCTACCTTAGGGTAGTCTACCTCCGTTCTATTTCTACTCTAGACTTTTCTGTAGTAGCCTTACCTAGTTCCTCCTGAATCTCCAGAGTCCCCCTGCATCTGACCTCTGGACTTACCTGGACTTCCATTGGATCTCCCTCCTACCTCTCAGAAATTAAGGGCATGTACTTGGGTAAGGGGTGCAGCACACACGCTGAAGCCAAGCCCTTTGAGTTCTCCTCCCCTTGAGCACAACCTTAACATGTACAAGACATTCCCTCCAGTGCTATTCCTGGAGTTGAAAGAGGACAGATCACCCAAGACTGTCTTTGGGAACTGGCAACTGTTGGCACAAGTAAGTCTGGTGGTGCTTTCTGCCTTGGCCATCTGTCTCACCAGGAATGTCCTCAGATTCTGAAAGCTTCATTGCACAGTGTCACATCCCTCCATCAAGCTTCCAGTGGTGGTGGCGCACATACAAACTCGATGAAATGGAGTGTTTGGCAAGTCACACCAGGTTCCATCACATGGGCTGCAGTTCTCATAAGCCAACCATGCCATCCAAATTTTTATTGGCAGTTGCCCTCATGCACTACTGCAGGCAATATTCTTACTGTCTCCTGACACTAAATTTTTGAGCATCGGCATCGGCAAGAGGTCGACTATTTGCTATAAGGATCTATTTTTCAACTACAAGAAAGTTCTAGTGGCAAAGTGGAAGACGAAGCACATCGTACAGATTGTAACTAATATTAACCACTACATCTTCAAAGCTGCATGAGCTTCGGCCTTGGATTCTGCTGGACATGAAGATTATATGGATGTGATCAATTGTGTGCTTGACATGGAAAGTTTGAATGATGGATCTGATGGATCTGAATATGCAGCAGAGGTAACAGGAACTCCCATAGCTGCTGCAGCCTTGGAGTGACATGCTCCAGCATCTGAATCAATCTCACAGCCTAGCCTCTCTGCACAGCACTGGTACACTACAGATTCAGAAGCTCTGCCTGACCCCATTGTCAATGACATAGCCACCAATGGTGGTACTGCAGATTCAGAGGATGCAATGCCTGATGTTGTGTGAGCAGGCATCAGTTCATCAGTAATAGTAGGTGAGGTACTCCAGGAGGCGGCAACTGAGCCAAGCACTAGAGGGAGGTCCAAGAAGTTGAAAAACAGAGGGAGGAAGGTGGCTAAACTGGTGGTGGCTTCTGATCGTACTACTCAACAGTCTCACAAATAGTCTTGTCAATGGATCCTGCGCTTATTTGTCAAATTAGCCTGTTGGTTTACTTTGCTGTGCTTACTTGGACTCATACTGTAAAATTTGGTTATGTAAATCCATGAATAATGCAATCCTTCATATATGTTGCTCCTGGCAAGGGAACAGAGTAATGGGGACTTAACATACTGGCAGAGTATTAGATTACAGTAATAGGAGATGACCATCATCAGCACTCAGCGACATCTGAATCCAAAGGGGTGCACAAAGTATTAACTTCATTTAAACAAGACCATACAAGGCCAAATAAATATCATTTCAACTTGCATTGACTTAGTATTTGAACATCCTATAAACTTTCACACACTCTACTTCACATCCTTTGCATCCTTCACACAAGTTTTTGATCATTATAATCTCCTGTATATACAAGGCTGACACTGAGCCACAGAATGCAGATTTTCGTCAAGATGCTCACTGGCAAGACCATTACTCTTGAGGTTGATTCAGATACCATCAATAACTATAACATTATTAAGGCCAAGATCCAAGACAGAGGGAGGTAATATTATTATGTATACTGTCCTAGTCAACACCACTATCATATACTGGATCCCAGCACCTCCAATACCACCTGTGAACATCCCTACTGCTGGTCTGACCCCTTGTTTCCCCGTCCGCTCCATCCCTCCTTCTCCAACAATGCATGAAGTGCATCTCAGCAGGACTAGCCCTGCTACCTCCGCCCAACTCTGCTCCGCTCCTCTGACACTACCTATCCAGAGCTCCACTCCTCTGCTCTATTGGTCCACCTGATCCTATTCCTACTCCCTGTCAAGAGCAGCCGATAGCGTCCGTCTGACCACCCGGTCATGATGACAAGTGACATATATATATCAGAGACATTTTACAGTACCTGGCTCCATTTCTCCGGTTCCCTTTTACTACTTAAGATGACAGATGCCCATCAGCACACCTCAGTCTCTCTACCCGTGACTGAGGTGTGTATTATCCGTTCTAGTTCTTATATCACTATACTCATTACTTAACATTGTACAGGCTCATATTCTAGGTTCGTAGTACTACAGGAATTTAGTCTCTCTACCCGTGACTGAGGCTTGTATCTAGCTCTCACCTTTCACAGGTTATGAGCCCTGGCTAAAGGATAGCGGCATTATCTTACACTTCTTGCTCGAATTGACAATTCTCGGACATCCGTCCACCTATCTCACTCTCGGCTAATTCACACCAATATTTGAGCTGTCACACCTCTCATCAACTGTCAATCATCACTAATTTCGCCATGTCATCGTCTTCAGACTCTCTTCCGAAAACTGAAAAATACCTGCACGAGAAGCTTACCCTTGACAGCTCCAACTATTCCCAATGGGCTACTGGGTTCAAAATGTGGGCTGGTGGGCTTGGACTATGGCCCTACATTAGTGGAGATGAGAAGGAGCCCTCGCCCCCTGCTCAACTCTCCGACCCAGATCAGAACATCCTTTGAAAGGAGAAGCATGACGAGCGTGTGAGGCTATACAAGCAGCATCAGTTGCTTGCCCTCAGTGCATTATCTACAGCCATAGATGCCCAGGATTTCGTATACCTATGCAACACGGAGGACCTGAATGACGGCTGGGAAGCCCTGGCCGGGAAATACCTGCCTCAAAAGGCTATCCGGTTCAACCAGTACCTTGACTGACTCTTCACCATCCCAAAGGCACACGATAGCAACTTGATTGCTGAGATGCTCCAGAGTCTCGTTGTACTGAGATCTGACCTCACAGCCCTGTCAATCAGCCCTCTGATGGCTGCAGCAGCAATCACAGCCGGTGCCCCAGCCACTCCAGCCCCAAGTGAATACAAAGTTCCTGATGCTATATTCATCCACATCCTGCTCCACGCACTCCCTGATTACTATGATCCATTCTGCCAAACCCTTATCAACAGTAGCACGTCCCTCGACTTCAATGACATTGTAAACCGCTTGAAAACCCAGGAGCTCCACCACGCCAGTAATGGTGGCAATGCTGAACATACTGCAATGTTCTCTGGGCATTGAGGTACTGCAAGTGGTCCTTCTAAAGGGAACCGTGTCCCCCCCAAGGGTTTTGACGAATCAAAGGGAGATGGGTGGATACTTGGATGGCGTCCAAAGTGTGGACACTGTGCCAAAGCTGGACACATTTGGCTGCAATGCCGTGCCCGCCTCTCAAAGGACGAAAAGAACTCAAAGTCAGACACGCCTCTTTCTCCCCCTGCTGCTATCGCCACTAAAATGGAAGTCTCTATGGCAGACCAACCTGATGATGCGAACGCTGTATCGCATCCCCCATTTATCCTCACCTTAAAAGAGCACTCTGCCAAAATCTCATCCTCCCTTACTGTGCCTGTGGGCTCCTTTCATGTAGACTCTGCGTCGACGGCCCATATGGAGCCTGATATATCATGTTTTGCCCACTATACAAAGCTCCATGAGCCAATCTGTGTGAAACTTGCAGATAACCATGTGGTCCTGGCCCCTGGCTGGGGAACTGTGAAACTTGTCCTGCAGTACGAGGCATCCCTAACAGAATGAGTCTTTGACTTCCTTCATGTCCCTGACTTGCGGTGCACCCTCATTTCTGTGTCGTGTCTTGCATCTAAACACATCTCCTTTGTATCTTCGTCAAAAGGGGGCATGCTTTATGCTGATGATGGCTAGGGTCCGCTGCTTGCTCACGTCCACCCCCGAAATGGTCTGTACCTGCTCAATGCGACATATGCCACCATGAATGCTGCCACATCTGCAATGCTTGTGTGGTCATCACCCGCTGCCATGTCCCTGCATACCTGGCATCGGAGATTAGGTCACACTGGTTTCTCGACCGTGCTGAAGGCCAGTGAACATGTTGAGGGACTCTCTATCGACCCTGCATCACTGCTTGATGTTGGTGATGGTGCTGATTCAATTCATTGTGTGTCCTGCATCATGGGCAAGCACAAACGGTCACCCTTTCCTCTTGCTGTACGATGTGCCTCTGCCCTTGCTGAACTTATACACTCTGATGTCTGGGGACCTGTGAACATTACCTCATCCACTGGTGACTCATACTTTGTTGTGTTCATGGACGGCTACACACGCTACTCGCTAGTCTACCTCATGCGGGCCAAGTCCAAAGTCTTCGGATGCTTCCAGGAGTTTGTCCCGTGGGTGGAGATGCAATCTGGCGGCCGCATCAAGCGCCTTCATAGCGACAATGGTGGGGAATATGTGTCGAAGGAGTTCCTTCAGTATTTGATGGTGCGTGGTATTGAGCATGAGGTTACCATGCCCTACACCCCCCAGCAGAATGGTGTCGCTGAGTGTGGTCATTAGACTGTTGTTACCCATGCACTCAGCTGCCACCACCAGAGTGGATTTCCACGTTCCTTCTGGGGTTGGGCGATCCTGAACTCAGTGCACGTCCAGAATGTCCTTCCCTCATCAGCCCTCAGTGGTCGCACTCCATTTGAGGCCTTCTATGGCTGCAAACCCGACATCAGCTACCTGCGCCCTTTTGGGTGCCTTGCCTACTCCCACATCCCTGATGATACTTGTCAGAAGTATGAGTTCGTTTCCCGCCGTTGCTTCTTGCTGGGTCATGTACATAATGCTGGCTATATCCTCTGGGACCCATCTGCCAAGTGCACGATTCGATCTCGTCATGTGCACTTTGATGAACACATGTTCTATGGTGACCCTACCTCATCCCCCCTCCGCCTACTCATGGAGGATGATGCTGACCCCATGCCCGCTGTCAGTTTTCCAGTGGGAGGTGCTCCCCCACCTGGTGAGCCACCATCTGTGACCCCTGCTGTCCCGGTTGTGCCACAGGTGTCAGTGGGAGGATGTGATGATAACCCACCAGATCGCAATGATAGCCTCCCAGATGCACCAGCTCCAGCTCCAGACAACCTCCCAGATGCACCAGCACCTCCACCTGATGTACCAGCTCCACACCGAAGTGCACACCCATGTCAGCAGACCCAATTTGGCCACACCACCTCGAGTGGACTCAGTGCTACAGCCATACCTGCTAAGTGTGTCCCTGTAGCCGAGCATTGGACTCATGTCCCAGTACATCCAGAACAGGTACCAGACCCCACACTGCCCAATGAATCCGCCATGCACACCTCGACAGACGACGCACCTGCCACTCCTACACCACCGAAACCCATCATACCAGACTCAATCAACAAGGCACAATCCCTACCTAAATGGCCACTATGGTCGGATGCCTGCAAATCTGAGTTACAGTCCATGCGAGACTTAAAGACTCACTGTCTGATGCCACTTCCAGAAGGAAGAAAGGCAATTGGGTCCAGATGGGTATTCTCACTGAAGACAGATGAGGATGGCAACATAACTCAGCACAAGGCTCAATTCATTGCACAGGGGTATACTCAAGTTGAGGGGATCAACTACACGGAGACTTTTGCAGCTGTTGCTAAGTATGACACTGTTCAAATTCTCCTTATGCTCACAGCGAAATTCAACCTTGAGTTAGATCAGATGGATGTACATACAGCATTTC